CAGCGCTGGGTTATATTTAACCCAGCATTTTTTAGAGTGTAAGACTAGGCCAATTTCAGAAATTATCAAATTTTTACCAAACTGGACCAAATTTTTATGGCTTAATCTAAAAATGTTAAAAGTTTTATGGTCAGTAATGCAGACTATTAAAAGTGGAAAGTTAACATACTAAATAGTCATATTAAAGGTGCCAAATTATTTATCTTCCCTGCAGTGTTTATCTCATCTATCAGAACAGTACATTCTGAAGATGAAAACAAACTCACATGAGATTTTTTTAAAAATGTACAAAATGTCATCAAGAAACAAACTAATGCTTTTTGTGATGGGAGTGGACCAGCTAATAGGACACAATCGCACATTTATAAAACGGATAGTTCCGGTCCTTGATTCTGATTGGTTGAGCCACATTCAAAGCTGTTGTAAATTACTCTACAAACATACACCTTTGTTTACTTCTGTGTGTTGCTCGGCAACCACTTTGTTGGAACCACAACTGTTTCTGAGGAACTACATTGTTTGGTGGAAGAATACTGTTTTTATTTATATCATTACACTTTATTTGCTCGGTTTTATTCTGTGAAACCTTACTACGTATATGGAATAACCGTTTTATCAAAGCAATAAGCCCCGTGAAGACAGCTAAGGGGGTCCGCTTCACGTCATGCCTAACAACGCCCCTTAGCTGTTATAAATTCACTGTAAACCACGGCTTCTTGGGGCTTATTGCTTTATTTTATCTGAGCATGCCTATGAACATGAAAACAGACTCATCGATTATTAACCACGTTAAACCGGTCACAGTGGTTAACAAGAATTATACCCTTATGAATGATTCCTCCGAATACAAGCTCCGCCAGCAAGTTTTGAAAACCCAAGATTTGTAGACCAAATAATACTAGTAGTGTTTTGAATGTAAATATGACTACTACTAAGTAAGCCATGGCATTTCAGCATATGCAGGAAAAAAATGATCTTCCCTTTGGCATGTGAATCTCAAAAAACCTGACAAGAACATGGCCAAGAAATATTTTACCACAAAATTTGCATTGTTACTATTTTCATGACAAAATAGAAAAGGCTAACTTCGTTCTTACAGTAACGACAATATTAATAGAACCACCACTGAGAATGGAGAGAGAGAGAGAGAGAGAGAGTTAGTTATATATTTTTTAATAATACTATATTAACTAAATAATTTATAAATGTTGGGGTGAAATGTGATCTGGATATGTTTTTGTGAGATTCTAAGATTCACCCAGTAAGGTTGTCCATCCCTTCCCTAACCTGTAACAACTATCACATATTTTACATAATTATCATGAAGCATGACAAAAATATAATTAAAACATTACAACATGCAAACTAAAAGTTTCTTGTTCAATGAAGGGCAGAAAATGCAGAAATGAAATCAAGAAAAAGAAATGACACATATAGTCTCTAGTTATCTCCAATATGTTGGCAAAAAAAAAATAATCAAGAAATACCACAATGTAGCAAGAAACGTTTATGAAATTTCACTCGAAATCATCAGTGACTGCTGATGAAAACTTCGTTCAACATTATCCAACAATCAGAAGTCTTTCGCTCATACACATTTGGGGGTCTCGGAAAAAATCCACACAAAATGATGAGTCTAAACACCTTGAACACTAATATCTTATGGTTATTTCATATAATATACATACTTTGACAAATAGACATACTTTTGAAAGCTATGGGTACAAAAGGGAATCTCTAGCTACCCCCTTGTTCTTAAAAAAGTGCAATCCGACACCCCAGTCCCTTCTTTCCAGCACAACTCCGATTGTATATAACCTTCAGCTGTAATGGCTGCAATATAACAAAGAGTGAAAAATTTAAGGGGGTCTGAATACTTTCCGTACCCACTGTATATTTATTTATTTCATGGCCAAACGTTCAAAGTTTCTGGAAAAGTTGGCTTCAGCTGGTAAACACCTTCAAACTACCACTGGTATGGACGTCTGTTTGTGCCAATGAATAAAAAATAAAAAATAAAGGTAATTTCGACTTTTTTCTCTCACAAAACTGACTTTATCTTGCAATGCCAAGACTGTTTGCAGATGATTACTCCTGGGACTATTTCTCAGAATTGCAAGTTTATATCTCGCAATTCTGACTTTGTAATGCACAATTGCAACTTTAGGCCTATATCTCACAATTCTGAGAGAAATTTCAAGATGTAAACTTGCAATTGCGTAAAAAAAAAGTCAGAATTTTGAGACAGTCACAATTACCTTTTTTATTTACATTTTTTTAAGAAAACAGAACTGCGAGATGTCAACTCACAATTGCATTTAACTCATAAATCTGACAAAAAAAAGTAGAGATAAACGAAAAACTCGAGATATAAACTCGCACTTGTGAGAAAAATGTCAGAACTGTGAGATCACAATTACTTTATTATTATTTTTAGTATTATTATTTTATGTCATGGCAGAAACAAGCTTCCATACAAAACAGCTTGCCTAATCAAATTTTTCTGGAAAAGTTTGCTCCAGCTGTTAAAACAGTTCAAATTACCACCGGTATGGAAGTCTGTTTGTGCCAATGAATAGGCCTAAAAATTTTGTAAAAGTTAATTGTGAATTTTTATCTCACAATTCTGACTTTTTTTTTCTCACAATTGCGAGACTCTTTGCAGATGATGACTCCTGGGTAGGAATGTAACGATTAACCGCGAGCCGGTTGAAAATCGATTCAAATATGTGACGATTCAAATCGGTTGAGATGCTAAACAAATCGCGATTCATTTAGAGGTAGGAGTTTATATGAATGTATGTCTGAAGGGAACTTACTGTCTTTAGAAAAGTTTCGATGGTATTTTTTCTATTCCTCTTGCCTCTGTATAATGCATATTAAAGTTCATAAGTGCAGCCTTGCTTTGTTTGCGCCACCTGCTGGCAGAGAGTGAATCTGCGTCTCATTCAGCTCGTCTGCTGTTTCTGTTTCATGCAGATATTTTTGTATGTATAGTTTCACAAAACTGAAGTCAAACCATTCTGTTTTTGCTTCAAATTTCGAAATTATACAATCTAATTTAGATTAAAATCTGCTCATGTTGCATGTATGCAGCATCTTTGTTTGGATCAGGATTAAAATGCAGTGGTTGCCTCAAATTTTAAATGGAAAGAGCACAGACAAAGCCTTATTTTGTTTATATGAAGAGATTTATTTTATTTGTGTTACTTATTTATTTGATTTGGGGCTTGTTTTAAAATTTCAATTTAGTTTTGTTATTTACATTTACATTGTATTTAAATGTTGTTATTTAGCAAACACTTTTATTCAAAACGACTTACAAATGAGGACAATAGAAGCAATCATAACCAACAAAAGATCAATAATATGCAAGTGCTATATTAGTATATTATTATGGTTTTATATTTCAATTTCACAAAGAAACGTGCAGCATTTTGTCCAAGCAAAAATAAAAGGACACATTTAATTTATAATTGGTCTTAAATCTCATGTTGTAAAAAAAACCCCGTGAATCGAATCGAATCGTGACATCAAAATCGTGATTAGAATCGAATCGTGAGTTGAATGAATCGTTACATCCCTACTCCTGGGACTTTGACTTTATAATACAAAATTGCAACTTTAGGCCTATATCTCGCAATTCTGAGAAAAACTGCAAGATGTAAACTTGCAATTGTGCAAAAAAAGGTCAAGACTTGTGCGATAATAAGTCGCAGTTACCTTTATTATTTTTATTCAGTGGCAGAAACAATCTTCCATACACTCGTCGAGGGCAAAAACGTAACTTCACCGTGAATATATTTGGGCCTGAAACGTCCTGCTTACCTGAATCCACCATGATGTCCTCATCATCCCCCGATCCGTCCTCATCTCTAAACACCACCTGTTTCCCCTGACGGACCACAGTCCTTTTACCAGAAAAACCTTCGACCTTCAAGACTACTGCCTCTTCTTCAGGTTTTAAAGGTTTCTCGACATCCTCTGACTTTGTACTAGAACTTTTAGAACCGTTCCAGCAAGGACGGCCAACATCAGGCTCCTCTTTGCACGTTGCAGTAGCCGGTGAACTCAAGGCAGGTTTTGAACTTGTGCCAGTGCACATAGGCTGGTTGCTACCCATGCCGTCAGTGGGTACAGGGATGCTGAGGTAATCTTCCGGTTCTTCTTTGATGGTACATCCATAATTAGAAATCTCACCTTCAGCACTGGGGGGAGAAAATGGGGCGAAAGATCTCAATTCCTCATCCTTGCTTTTCCTCAGCTTCTTCTTCTTTTTCACTTTATCGGCCTTTGTTCGACCCTCCAGAAGAAGACCTGCTGATTTCAGACGCTTCTGAGGCTCGGAATCCTCGCTCGCGGGTCTCTTGTATCCAGCAAAGCTCTTGCGGTTTTTGGGTGGGGGCTCATCCGGAGACGAGAGGCCGCAGCCCAGCCTCTGGTTCTCCCATCCGTCACTGTCTGCAGTGCTGCCGGTGCTGTTGGGAGGACTAGAGCTGTTCCTCAAGTGCGCCTCCTGTGGACAGCAATTGAAAACACTAATTTAACCACTATTTCACGGAATTTCTTGAATAAAGACAACGGTCTGAAGTCTGAAGATGAACAAACAGTGACCGAATAACTTCACTGCATGTTTCAAGAAGACTTATGGTGAAATTAATAAACAGAAAATCATCCACACCCACGAACCCTGCTGGTTATGGTGCAATATATATAATGACAAGAAATGCAGACCACACTGGTGCAAGATGAAAATGCCTACTTACATTAAATAAAGATCTCGAAGATGGAACATTTCACATTTTGAAGTATGATAAATGCTAAATAGAAAATACAGTGCCTTGCAAACCTGAATCATTAATAGGTGCGTTGAATAAAAGTTCAGTATAAAATAGAAAATGTGTCTAAATCCCTCCAACTTGCATCATTGTGAAATTTTAATATAAACATTTCTGTCAGGAATTTGCTAATAAAATTTCATAATGACAAAAGTTCAGTAGTGTGCAGGATTTAGACATTTTTGGAGTCTGATAAAGGCTAAAATGTAAGAACATGTAATAATGAAAATTCCCAGCAATTGTTTATTAGATCAATGACCAGTTCAGTGACAGGAAGCACTAAGTACCAAGCAGTTAACTGAATCACCAAGTAAAAACATGATTATCAATATTTAAAGAACATAAACACCAGCACAATGACTGGTAAAAAAGTGACTATCACAAACCAGGGTAAGAGAAGAAAAGTGCCAAGAAAAGCTCTTGTAGAGTCACTCCTAAAATTAAGAGCTACCACCTAAGAGAAACAAATGACTGGTCCTTGGAAATGCAAGCGTCTGCACAATGAAACCGCTCTCTGTAAAAATAAGGCACACAAATTTCAGGTTTATGAACTTCCACTGTATGTTCAAAGAACTTAAAACCTCCCCCTCATTTTGCCGTCAAGCCATAATCAGCTTCCTTGGTCACGACTAATGAACTCAGAAACTCATGGATCCCACATCAATGGTGGATTATTTTGGTGCTCAGGGGTCCATCTCTTTCTACCCTTACTTTTGTTTATACCCTCATTTACTGTTTGTTTCCTTGTTATTAAAGCCATCATTATTTGTGCGCTATGAAGGGCTATGTCTCCTCTGTGCTGAGTAGCCTGCGGAAACAAAGCAAGTAGTAAGCAAATAAATAATAATGTAAGACTGAATTAGAGGAACTACATAATGATCTTTCTGAAAACTCTATTGGCACTTATCCACTGCATGGTACGGCATGGTACAGTTCACTTTTGAGGGGTTTTCCACTGGGTACAGTACCTGGTACTAGGGATGGGCGTATCGATACTTTCGATACTCGCGTCAGTATCGATACTCAAACAAAAAAGATCAATACTAAGGTGTGTTTTATTTACCAGTGATTTTGTTTATTTAACAAACAAAAAAATAATGCATACAATATGCATTGAATTGGACGAATAACCTTTGTTAGCGAGTAATTGTGTAGGATAGAACTATTTTCCTGCTCATCTGAACATGCAAATGTTGGAAGACAGAACTAATCAATCACAGAGAGCGTTCACTCACTTCTGACAGTGCATTCATACAGGGCTTCTTTTCCCAAAAGTATCATAAGAAAGCATTAAAGCTTTTGGGAATGGCAGCCCTGAACAATGCTTATCAGAGGACAGAAGGACAGAGTTATTTCACAATAAACAAACTGAAATTGCAGCCTACATAGTTTGTGCAATTACAGTTATTTAAATTGAAAGTTGAAAGATAATATTGATCATGTTCTATTCTGTAATGTTAATAGAAATCATACAGAATAAAAAGGTTGCATTTTAATGCGTGCAACAGCCTGTCACTAGCAGTCCCTTATGAAAATGAACCATGGTTTTACTAAAGTAGTCCCTTATGAAAATTAACCATGGTTTTACTAAAGTGACCGTAGTTCAACTGTAGTATTTATAGATTTGAATCATGTGTAAACAAAAAACATATTTGAACCATGTCTAAACAAAAATATAACCTAATAAGTTACAATTAAGGCGTATTGAATGTTAAAAAGCGTTTTAAACAAAGTTAAGTGCTTATCATTACCCATTTTACTCTTAGTAATTTAATAATTTAATACATTTCATAATTTAAAAGTTTAAGTTCAGAAGTATCGAATCGGTATCGACGATACTGCCTTGAAAAATATCGGTATCGTATCGAAAACAAAATAAGAGGTATCGCCCATCCCTACCTGGTACCTGATACTTTTTTCAGTACCACCTCGGTTGAGGTTCCAAGCGAACCGTACCATTACCAAAACGTGACGTGTAAACTGCTGATCACAGATTGGCCGGAGAGAATCGTCACTACCTGCGTCATTGCACTTGCAACACGAGACATAACAGACATAACATAACAGTGCAGATTTAAATCAGCACAGCCAGCGAAGGATTGAACGCAACTGTTTTGAACAAACGCACCTTTTTTAACAACCAAAAAATGGCTGTTTCCTTGTATGTTGAGGAAGTACAGACGTTCCTCTCGTTGAGAGGAGCGGATTCAGCGAGCTTGATGGGGCGACACGGAATGAAATAGTTTTTCAGGAGTCGCGGCAGTAGAGGCGGCGCAACTATAGCGACATGTGAGTATTCCCGCCCACTCTAAAGCGGTACTTAACTGCAGTGGAAATGCAAACCGAACCGAGCCGAGTCATACCACGCAGTGGAAAAGCGCCATATGTAAGCTGAAAGGATGTGAAACACATATTGCCAAATCACTAGCTGTTCCAAAACATAGTGAGCTACATAGACATCATTTTAGACAACAGGCTTCTGTTGATGTGAAGGCTGTTCCGAGAACAAGATAGTTTCACAAAGAAGGCACTCCCAGAATGCATTGCAACAAGCTCAAAGAAAATTCAATCAAAATGGCAGACCAAAAGCCTACAGTGGGATATTTCTATTAGATATTGCCTATTTCCAAGCATAAAGTTTCTGGACGTCCAATGCTCAGATGATGATATGGAAACCAAATCCACAACTGAACCAAAAAAAAAAAATACTGGGTTTTATTCCATTATTGATGACTGATTTAAATGAACATTGAACTGATTTAAGCTGAATAGCAAAACCATTGTTTGATCTGAAATAGTTTCATAATGAATTAACTTCACGCAGATATTGAACTGAATCAACACTAAACTGACTTGAGCTGAATAATGACACTATTGTCTTTTTAGAGCTGCTTTACAGCTGAATTTGTCTCATATTTAATGTAATTTCTATCAATTATGTTATTTTCCAGTAACGCTGCTTTGAAACAATTTGCAGTGTATACAGTTCTATATAAATAAAGGTGACTTGACCTGGGTTTTAAACACCTATTCCTATCCCAATAAACTGGTTTTATTATCATAAAACGTAGGAAGTTTGACTCATCTCCAATGCTTTACATTGTTTACATTTACTTGTAAAAGATGACACCATCTTAGTGTATCATCATTCATCTGCACTTACTATTTGGTACCCAAAACTTACTATTTTAATATATATATATATATATATATATATATATATATATGTACCCCCATTTTATTATTATCTAACCATCATGCCAGTGTCATTTGAGAGTTGAGTGTCCCATGCACTGTATGTTAGCAGATAGGATGTTTCCTTAGAAGGCAGCGCCCTATGTAGACAGCACACTGGGGTTTGGAACATTTGGGGCTATTATCGGCCCTCATGCATGTCCCTGCAACAGAGTTTCCTTGATTTAGCCTCCATCCATTTGAAGGATCCATTAAAGGGAAGACCTGAAACTGAAGTGTTTTGGATGCACACACACTGCTGTTGTGAAGAATGGCACTTAGAGACAAGGTCTGGGATGAGAATGGAGGAGACTGGAGTGGCCCTCTTACCCTGGGAGGGAGGGCTGAGGTTTTTTTGGAGGGGGGATGTCTCTCAGCGGCCATGACATAAGAGCCACCACCATTTCTGTGGATCAAACAAGAGCATCAGCAGCAAAGCAGCTCATAAGAGGTGTGCCACCAAAAAAAAAAAAAGAGAAAAAAAATCCCATGAACACCCAGTGCTACACCACTGCCACGGATAGGAACCTCTGGAGGTCGAAGTGTCAGATCGTTGAGCGATCCTGAGGAAAGCAAGGCCACGTCACCCTGCAACACTTTCTATCAAATGCACAAGCACAGTGAGTAGCATTTTTACCACAATCACCACTCAGTTACATAACAAAGACAAGATTATACTCACCTCCTGTGGATAAGGAATATAACCGGCATATGCGAGCACAAAAGTGCAGAACTTGTTGAAATCTTCCACTGTCCGTTTCCGCTTAAATGTTGAACTGTAGCCCTGCAATAAAAAAATAGCGTCAATACTGACATAAATCTTTTAAAGTGACTATTTTTATCTATTTAGTGCCATGAGTTTAAAAGGTTAAATCAGCATTTCATTCTTGTGAAAATGATTAAAGCCACTTTTAACATTTGATTATGACCAAACTGCAGTGCCATATGTTGTTAAGCCAATCAGAAATGAAGCAATGTGTGCCTCATTAAATTATTATTGAACCTCATGTTTAAATCAAGGGTAAAGTATGAAAGTGTAAACCATGGAACAAAATGAATCAGAATTACATTACATTCTGCAAAACTTATGTCACCAAATGGATTAAAAACAAACAAACAAGCAAACAGTGACTGCTTTCAAACAGGTAGTCCCACCCCTAGCACATGCCATTGGTTGAGTCACTGTTGTTGTTCTGGGTTGGTCACAACGCTCAAACAAACACAGTAATGGTTTGAGAGCATTGCAGAGTTTAAGTGTTTATAGGAGAATCAACATAGAACAGTTTACTTATTGTCTCTGCATATAGAGTTTAACAGTTGGGTTTCAAAAGTTAAAATCCCATTCATTTTCCCCATAGGGGAACTGATTTTCAACAATAACTTTAAACCTTTAAAGACAGCCATACTGTGTTACAAGACTGTTAATCAATGGTATGTGTTTATATTGAAGCCATCAGGCTGCATTACTTCAACTTAATTGTTAAAGAATCGTGTTTAAAGGGGTCATATGATGCGATTTAAATTTTTCCTTTCTCTTTGGAGTGTTACAAGCTCTTGGTGCATAAAGAAGATCTGTAAAGTTGCAAAGACTAAAGTCTCAAATCCAAAGAGATATTCTTTATAAAAGTTAAGAGTCAACCACACCTACCTAAAACGGCTCGTTCTAACACGCCCCCACATATCTACGTCGCTATGTGGGAAGATTTGCATAATGCAGCCCAAATGTTCACGCAAAGAAAGAAGGCGTAACTTTTATTCTCACTGTAGTATTATTGACGCTGCAGCCATGTCGTGAAGACGCTGTGTGCTTCGTTGTGAAAGCGAAACTACTTTGTTTGGTCTTCCAAAAGAGGACGATATCCGCTTCGTCATGCCTGGAGCTGATCTGTGCTGGTCGCTGAGGGAATACATCAACGTCACGCTGTGGATCGCCGGATCGGCTTTCAC